ATTTTAATAATAAAAAATAAAAATATTTTAAAAAATACACTTATTTGTTTTTAAACATGTCCTTATTAGTCATTTAATGTTGAACAACAGTCGCTAACTGTTGTATAGCCAAACAGTTGTATAGCCAAATAGTTGTATTTATCGAATCTGTTATTTACCATCCGCTACCCACTTCCGCTATTCGCTAACCGTCACCCGCTACCCACTACCGCTATCCACTACCGCTATCCACTATCCATTATTTGCTATCCACTACCGCTATCCGTTGAATTTTAACCGCTGTATCAAACATGACTACCTTTATATTCCGCATTGATATATTTATTTTTACTTATTTAAATAAATTAAAATAAAGAAAAAAGCTGATGTAATGTTGTAGTGCTGTTTTCGGGTATAAACATTTTGGGAGATGTGTTAACCAAATAGGTCCTTCGAGGTAAGAATTTGATCTCTATTTCAAGAATGATTCAGATCTTGGCACCTTATGTACCGTCTCAAAGCCTACAGCTACCAAGTAAAGCATCATTATTATTTTTTTCTGGATTTGGACGAGTAGGATGTTCTTAGATTAATTTACATATAAATTTAAACTAATTTTCTATAAATAATCTTAAGGCAGATCCCCACAACCACCAAATACATCTTTTTTAAATGCGTGTTAGTGACTCTTACTAGATAACAACGACATGACTATGATAACAATGATGGTATACGTATGAAAAACACCGAAGGAAATGATCACATCTGTTGTAATTGTTCAGTCTAGATGGTCCCTGCGCGACACACAACTAAAATTTGCAATTCTGAACATGGTATATTGTGTGTCGCGCATGGACAATCCAGATTTAACAATTATTCCAATGGATTGCCTCTAGACTTTGGCAACTCTATATATAAAAGTATATATATCATAAGATGAGTTTTCGGATGATATGACTTTGGACACAATTTTCTTATTTTCTTGTGTGATATGTCACTGAGGCACAAACAAGAGAGCGATCACAAATTTCAGTAGACAACTAGGTATATAGACATTCATGGACATGTTCCTCGTTTGATGCAGACAGCTCAATTGAGAACCAATGAACAATTAGTTTTATTCTTTTGTTAGAAATTTTAAGACCAATCGAGGTAACTAAATGAATTTCTCCTCATTTATCAAAAATCAGTGCATCTCAAATGCCATCCAAAAAAACTAATAGCTAAACTTTATTTCTTTTTTCTTTTTGTGCGCCTCGCATGACCTAGGCTTAAGGCTTGCATAACAGGAGGCGTCCGCCGGTAGAGGCTGTAGTGTCCCCCGCCGATCGGGATTGCTTCTTTTCTCATAAGGCAGTGTGTTCCTTTCCGTCCAATGGCTGTTTAGGGTGGCTACATTGGTACTTTGTGCAGGGCCCCGGTGACAGGTGCTACAGACGGCCTCAGTGGTGGTTCTTCTAGTTTGAGGTTAACTGCAGGAGTTTGGAATGAATCGCGAGTGGCATAAATTTTTTCTATTGTTTTAGTTTAGTTTAGTAGGTTTTGATTTGTTTAGTTTTAGTCCTTTGCCAATTGTTTGGAGTCTTTGCAGTTGGGTTCTTAAATTTAAGTCGTAGTTTAGGTCTACACTCTACACTACAATCGAGGTCAGTTGCCAGCCGAGGATGAGAGGCCTTCTGAACAGAGGCTTTACGTTTGTAATTCTCTCTGCTAGGATTTTTGGCTGTTAGCCGGGGATGAGAAACTCATAAAATAAATCTATTAAATTAATATTAACTCTAATAATTTAATAAATAATAATCATTTATAATATTTGATTTTATTTTATACTTAAAAATTAATATTAAAAATATAAGTAATTAAAATTTGAAATTTAAAAAAATTAATTAATTTTAATTGACTCATTCTAAATTAATAAGATCCAACTTGACTCAACTTGACCAATTTAATTGAATTTAAACGATTTCCATCTACTTTGTATTATATTTCAAATTAATAACTTATCTCCATGACCTTACTCATATAAATAGATGCAGTTGAGTTAGATCTTTGAATAATTTTACCAGAACTACCTTTCACCAATTGGTTCTCTGGATTCCCCCATAGCGAAAGAGACGATGGTGCTGAGAAGATAGGCGTTTCTCTTTTGAATTCTATGATTTTATTATGTAGGGTTGTGCAGCCAGACACCTTTGTCGGCTCTTGCAATCCCAATGTGAGATTGTGTCAATTAAAAAATAAAGATTTTTTTTTTTTTAATATCAATTCTCTTCAATAAGAAAAAAATTCATTTTTAATTACTAGATGAGATGCGTGAATGTATCAATGATATGAATATAAACATAATAACATTTCTCTTGTGGAAAACTTATATTTCTCAAATTTTAAGATTCAGATTGATCTCATATAATGTCTCTAAATTTAAATATTATGAATAGATAAAGAAATACTTTGAAAAAATGTTTGTATTATCAATAATAAAATCAATCATTGTGTAGGACACTACTACCATACAAAGAAAGTATAATTGTGCATGAATGATAAACAAAATATGGCACATTGGCACTGCTATCATGCAAAAGGTATAACACGATGCAATAGGACTTAAAAAAAAATTGTATGACAATATATGTACATATGTGTGTGTATATATATATAGGTTAGTGTAATAGAAGTTATTCTCTCAAAAAGGTTTTTAGAGGACTTATCTAAAAACTCTCTTTCAATTCAATATTTTTAAAAACTAACTATTAAACTAAAAATTTTATTTATATGGATCATACATATCAATTTTTATCTTAATCTAATATTTATAATTTTTTGATTAAAAAAATTTTATTTATTAAGGCATATTTAACAGTGTTAAAATTTATATAATTAACAAACTTGTTAAACCTTCTAAGTCAATTTAAAAATTAAAACGTATAATTTATATAAATAAAACTTTTAATGTAATAATTGACTTTTGAAAATATTAATTAAAAATTTTTTTTGACATAACCTTAAAAAAAATTAAGAAAAAAAATCTATAAAACACTTTTTCTACACATATATAAGTATATGGAGAGTAGAACAATACTTGTAATTCCAAGAAATTACAAACGCTCTTTCGAGTTACAATTGGCCTAAAGATAATGCAATATTTGGTGTTACAAGTTTAATTGAGAAGTTTAAAGAGCTTGAATGTTAGTGCATCGCCTGATCAAGAATATTCATTTAATTGAGATGTATTATATCCACTGCATTATATTCCATTTTCTCACTTTTTTTTTTTTTTTGAGTTGATTTCTCATGATAAAATTGTTAACAAGATAATTTAACATGTGAATACCAAAAGTTAAATATAGAAAGAGTGTAATGAAATAATTTCTAATAAATATTTTATACCTTCTATATATCTCTCCACTTTCTCATACAATTATACATTAAATAATGTAATTAACTCCTCCTTCCACGTATAAGTAATGATGATTAATTAACTCACCACTTCTTCAAGCTATTATATGTCGATTAATTCTTACTTAATGAATAAATTTATTGCAACTCTTATCATTCTTCTAAATATATATAACTCGTAACTTTCCATAAATAAAAAATATATATATATGTCTAATTTGTATATATAACAATGACATAAAAAAACTATCTATCCTTTTTATTTCTTTTTCCTTTTTTTCCTTTTTTTTTTTTTTATGAACAACACATAGCTGCATTCATTTCATTTCATATTTATTCTTTTACTTCTTCTGTTTTTTATTTTACAACAAAAATCGCCAAATATTTAGAGAAAATCGCCCAAATCTGAACGTTAAAAATATGATACCGTCACCATGTGATGACAGGGAAACAGATGTCACCGAATTTTAAAATTTTTAAGGCATGAGTCGACCTTGATCGTGACATGGCAGCATCATATATGAAGCAAAAAAAACGACACCACGACATGACAACACCCCAATTGGTTAACCCCACGCCTTTCATAACTCTCCTCTCTACTTGTAACCCCAAATTTAGAAATTAAATTCACACTCATATAAATGGCCCATTCCAACAACATTCCCTCCTCACAGATCTCTCTTCTTTTGCTGTGTTCTTTTCCACAGAAGCACCAAGGCAACTCAGAAGCCCCGTCTGCGGCAGCAGCGGCTCTGCCTCCAACTAGGCAATTCTTGTGAGTTCTCCTTCTCTTCATTTTTTATATGTAATGATTAGGAATTAAACTTAAACCTGTAACCGCGAACATAGGCTGCTTCACTATTATTTTCCCCCTACATTTTCAAGACTGTTCTCATCATTCCTTAGCAACGAACCCCTAAGGGTTCATTGCATCTTTTGTTGTTTTGGGTGTTTCAATAATGTTGTGAATGGTGATCTCTTGTTCTTTTTACTTGATTTCTGTTAAATTAGGCCAATGAATTGTGCTAGTTTCAAATTTGTTTCTCTTTTTCCTTGATTTTCAGAAAATATACTAAGTTAAGGCTTTGTTTAGGTTGTGGTTTTGGGTCATATAAATTTCTCAACTCTAAACAATTTTGCTTTCTTGCAAATATTAGATAAGGATATTGATTGCTAAATACTCTAATTCAACATATTACGAAACACAATTACTAAAAGATTATTATTTTTTATTTAAAATTAAAAGTAAATAAATTTAAAGATATAGTCATATATATTGAATGCTAAAATTAACTGAGTTTGTTATATTTATATTATATTTTAATAGTTAAAATTTAACATGTAAAAAAAACCTATTGAACTAAATATATACTAATTATTTTTCATTAGATAAATATTAACAAAAATAATTTTAATACTATTATATTAATCAAGTAAATATTTTAAGGGAATAGTTCTTATCTGCATTATTTCTTAAAGATTACGAGGAAATTAATCTAAAACTAAGTCATTTCAATAAACTCTCATTAAAAAATACTAAAATATCTTTTTTTTAAAGTATGAATTAGGGTGTTTTATTAAAACAACACAGTTTTAAAATGATTTTCTTCTTAATATTTAAAATATAAGGTCGATAAACACTAATATTATATTTTAATTGCTAATGTTAAATTTTTTTTTCAAAATAAATTTTTAATTTTTAATTTTTAATTTTTATTTTCAGTAATTATAAAATTTATAAAATCCAAAACTAAAAACCCAAAGCTCTAACTATACTAAACTGGAGCCTAAGCTAATGCATTGTGTTGGTTTTAATTTTTTCTTTTTTTTCTTTTTTTTCTTTACAATTGCTGGCATGAATTTGGAAGAGTGTTTTATTTGGAAAAAGGGAATCATCCTACTTTCTATCAGAAGAAAAATGGAGCTGTTTTTCAATTCAAATTCTTATTCTCAATGGTGGAGTGGACACTATCTGGTTATTCTTGTGTATGTCAATTCCATTTAATGCTTTACTGCCTTACCTTGTCTATGTAATGTAGAAACTGTTTAGATGGCCACACAATACACGCCAAAGCACATCCTCATCACTGGGGCTGCAGGCTTCATTGCGTCTCATGTATGCAACCGACTCATTCGAAACTATCCACACTACAAGATTGTAGTTCTTGACAAGCTTGATTATTGCTCAAGCCTAAAGAACCTGAACCCCTCGCGTTCATCGGCCAACTTCAAGTTCATCAAGGGAGATATTGCCAGTGATGATCTGGTGAACTTCATCCTCCTTACTGAGTCAATTGATACAATTATGCACTTTGCAGCCCAGACACATGTTGACAACTCCTTCGGGAACAGTTTTGAATTCACCAAGAACAACGTTTATGGCACTCATGTCCTTCTAGAAGCCTGCAAAGGCAATGGTGAAATTAAGAGGTTTATCCATGTAAGCACCGATGAGGTTTATGGAGAGACAGATGAGGATGCTGTTGTAGGAAACCATGAGGCTTCTCAGCTTCTGCCAACAAATCCATATTCAGCCACAAAAGCTGGAGCAGAGATGCTTGTCATGGCATATGGGCGCTCATACGGATTGCCCGTGATAACTACTAGAGGAAACAATGTCTATGGGCCCAATCAATTTCCAGAAAAGCTAATCCCAAAATTTTTCCTCTTGGCTATGAAAGGAAAGTCTCTTCCAATTCATGGGGATGGATCAAATGTCAGGAGTTATCTCTATTGTGAGGATGTTGCAGAGGCCTTTGAAGTCATTCTCCATAAAGGAGAAGTAGGACATGTCTACAATATTGGCACGAAGAAAGAGAGGAGAGTGATTGATGTGGCCCGCGACATTTGCAAACTCTTCTCTTTGAACCCAGATACGCAGATTAAGTTTGTGGAGAATAGGCCATTCAATGACCAGAGATATTTCTTGGATGATCAGAAGCTCAAAAGCTTGGGTTGGTTTGAAAGGACTGCATGGGAGGAAGGGCTTAGGAAGACAATGGAATGGTATGTTAGAAATCCTGAGTGGTGGGGAGATGTTTCTGGAGCACTGCTTCCTCATCCAAGGATGCTTATGGTTCCTGGAATTGAAAGGCAATTTAGTACACCTGATATGAGCAATCCTGATTTCGCTTCTATGGTAAATAATTTCAATCAGGCAAAGATGGTGGTCCCAACTCCAAAGAACAATCCATCTCTGCACAAGCCATCATTGAAGTTCTTGATTTATGGCAGAACAGGGTGGATTGGAGGCCTTCTTGGAAAGATATGTGAGAAGCAAGGGATTCCTTATGATTATGGGAGAGGACGTTTGGAGGAGCGATCACAACTCTTGGCTGATATTAAGTCTGTTAAGCCAACCCATGTTTTCAATGCAGCTGGAGTGACGGGTAGACCCAATGTGGATTGGTGTGAAACTCATAAAATAGAAACAATTCGAACCAATGTTGTAGGTGCATTAACGTTGGCAGATGTTTGCAGGGAACATGGCCTTCTAATGATTAATTATGCCACTGGTTGTATTTTTGAGTATGAAGCTACACATCCATTGGGGTCAGGAATTGGGTTCAAGGAGGAGGACAGGCCCAATTTTACTGGTTCTTTCTATTCCAAAACCAAGTCTATGGTAACCTTTTCCATCCAACAACATCTAATTCTATTTCCAAGCGAAATCATTCTTCTAATTTTTCCTTCTTCCTTCCAGGTTGAAGAGCTTTTGAGAGAATATGACAATGTTTGCACTCTAAGAGTTCGGATGCCCATATCATCAGATCTCAGCAATCCACGTAATTTCATCACAAAGATTACACGATATAATAAAGTGGTCGACATTCCAAATAGCATGACCATATTGGATGAACTTCTACCCATTTCCATTGAGATGGCAAAAAGGAACTTAAGGGGAATATGGAACTTCACAAACCCAGGGGTGGTGAGTCATAATGAGATCCTGCAGATGTATAAGGACTTTATAGACCCAAGTTTCAAGTGGGTAAATTTCACACTAGAAGAACAAGCTAAGGTTATTGTTGCACCCCGAAGCAACAATGAGTTGGACGCATCAAAGTTAAAGAAAGAGTTCCCTGAGATGTTATCAATTAAGGAGTCGCTGATAAAATATGTCTTTGAACCGAACAACAAATTCATTGCAGGTAGCGCACCAAAATGAACATTGTGTGAATTTAAACGCAGGATGGATCTCTGCATTGTTAAGGGTAAACATGATTTTCACCTTTTTCTCAATATTTACGATCTTTATGAATAATCATCTGCGTCATTTTACCTACTGTTTTTTTTTTTTTTTTTTTTTTGGTTTCAAAGGATAATTCCATTGGGTAATGTTCTCGTAAGATCCTGGTTTGGTGATTGTTATGTTTCTTTACAAAAGTCTCCAGTACGTACTGCAGCTTTCAATGTATTGTTTTGGATCGAATTATTGAATTATTTATTCAGTAAAGATTCATTTTATTTTACATCCTGTGATCCCGAAGTTTTAATCTTCTGTTTCTTAGGGATTAGCTGATTGTGATTAATTATTTAACATCTGTAAATTGGTGTATGCATATATCAACTTTTGCAACCCATTCGTCCAATTCTACCGGCCTGTCTTTGAAATTAGGGCTGAGTAGATGCAGGTATAGATCAAGAATCTGCTCATACTTGTACTACTTGACTAATACAGTAATAGATATTAAGTTTCGACATCTAGTACTTATTTAGGCATTGAAATTTTATAACCATTATCCAACTTATTGAGTACGGATATACCCACAGGTATACTTATTAAATATTATATTTTTTTTATATAGATTAAAGATAATTAAACATATTTCAAAACACATAATTTAGTCCATATAAAGTATATATTCACAAAGAAATACATGAGTTCATATTTATAACAAAATACATAATTTGGAACATAGATATAAGTTCATACATTTAACAAAAAATGCAAGTACATGCATTTACACATATAGTGTTGGCTCAAACACTCCAAGATGGGGTGAATTGGAATCTTCAAAATTTCCCTCTTTTTGTAACTACCATATGAAAAACAAAGAGAAAAGGGGAGAAGAGCTTGCACACTTGATTTTATAGAGGTTTAGCCCAACCACTTGGCACCTAATGCTTTACCTTGGCTTCACTCATCAAGAATCTCCTCCTCACTCTCCACTAGTGATCAAGAGTAGATTAAGGGAACTATCCAATCCTTTTATGAAGTGTTTTTCACTCAAACACTCCCCTTTACAAGGATCCCCAATAAACCTCACTTGGCTTCTCTCTTAAAGGCTTCACTTATATCCTCAAGTATCACTTCTTGTAGTCTCACTTACTCTCAAGATTACAAAGAAATGGTAGAAAGAAAGATTACAACGGATATAATCTTTTCAAGATCTAATTTGCAAGTGTAAACTCAAACTCTTCAAAGAATTTGCAAATCTAAGCTCAACTCTTGTTGGTAGATCTTCTAATATGTGTCTCTAAGCTATCCAAGGTGTTATCAACCTTATTTATGCCCTTCAAGTTGAAACTAGCTGTTCAAAGACGTTGGAGTGCATTAAATGCATTGAAATATTCATTGCTCGAAATTTAGATTTCCAACCTATAGCTGACTTCATGGCATTTTTTATAATTTTTCACAACTTCTCAATTTGAAATTCTGACATTTGATGATAAAAATTTTTTGTCTATAATTGACTCCAACTCTCTATAGTTGACTAGATGATATTCTTGTAGTTAATTATGAACTCTTTGCGCTTAAAGTGCATTTTATGCTATAATCAACTATGTTCTCTTAAAGTCGACTCTATAACTTTTACAGTCAACTTTATCTTCTTATAGCCAACTATATGGCACATTTTGGACTCTATTTTCTTCATCCAATTTCCTTCTTCAATCGACCTTATCCATATAGAGTTGACTCTATCACTCTTACAATTGACTTTGGCCTTGTTTAGTTGACTTTATGGTAAAGTTGTAAATAATTTGACTTTTCTAGAGATTTAGCCCTTCAATTTCCGTTATAGTTGACTTTAACCGTCTAAAGTTGACTCTTCATGAATTTATTCTTTAACAATTGATTCTATCTTTTTCCTTTAGTCAATTGTGTGCCGAATTGTTCATATTTTTCATTTTTTCAAGTTGGTTTTGACATTTAAACAAATTAAAATACTTTGCACACTTGCACAAAACTTATTAGAATTTTCACTGTAGTTTTGTTATCATCAAAATTATCATAGAAGCTCAACATTTACAAGTTCATACATATAACTCTATAAAATCTTCCTTCATTAGAATCTTCCCTACATAAAGAAAGAGGCATAAACGTTTTAGTCTCATGATATTATATTGCAAAACTAAGCTTAAAATCAAGAGCAAATCCATGTTTTACTTAAAGTCTCTTTTTTCTAGAGTATGCTCATTGTATTATAAAATTCTAGTGTAGTTGATGAGTTGAATTTATATACATACGAATGTAGAATTTATGCTTGATATTATTGATATTTGGATGAATTTTATGAGATTTAACTGAATCTTACATCATTCTCATTCTTTGTGTAAGAAAGGACTTTAGTGAAAGAAATCATAATTTTTAAGACCAAAATGCAGAGATAAAAAAGCTGAGGATTAGATTACACAAAAACCAGAAGTTATGGACCAGTTCTGTCATTTTGTCATTAACCAAAATTGCTTAAAAGGCCAACAACCCAGAGTTGTGATTAAATGCTCTATTAAAGGTGTCGGCACCTTATTTAGGGTATTGACCCTTTGCGCGATTTTCAGCAAGTCTATGCCAATCCTTATTATTTTGGTTTGGCTCCTATGTCTATTCTAGTTGGATTTTTTAAAATCGTATAAATACTCATCTAACATCAAAATAAAGGAGTTTTTAGGGGCAGGCTGTGGCAGTTCTCTTATGAGAAATCTTAGAAATCAAGACAAAAGAGGCAACAAGAAATTTATTAATAACAAAAGATTGAGGATTTTAACTTTTTTCAAATTATATCTTGTTTTTCCTTAAATATTTTTATTTGTTGTTTGATATTCTTATGTTCATAACTATGATTTCAAATTTCATTATTTTTATTATAAACTAATTTAGCCTACTTGGACTATGATGTAGTCTAATCAATATTTAACATAGATTTTCAAATTTTTATACTTTTAATTAAAGTTTGTTGTATGATGAGTTTTTATTGTTGTACTTAATACTTCATAAGCTTAAACACCTTTTGATTGATTACATAATTTATACATAAAATTGAGACAAAATTGCATAAGCTAAACTAATAACAATATAAATTGTGTGTTAGACAATGATAATAAGAAATAATTAGCATCATATGTGGTAGTAGAGGAAGGCAATGGAGTTAGGAGCTCCCCCTTCTTTAGCTAAAGGCTTCCACATTACTTAATGCTTATTGGTTTGTTTTAAATTACATACAGATATAACTAATTTAACAAATAAGTGAAAGATTAATTTGACTTGAGAAAGCTCGCTAATTAATTTAGGGGAATCCACCATCACACGAAATAATAGTCAACAAATTAGTCTTGGAAGTATATTAATCTAGAATTTATATTGATTGATTATGGTGAAATCGGATGCTCTGATACCTCCTATCTTGATTATCTTTCTAATTATTTTTAATTAAAGTTTATTCCTTCTTTATTTTTCAAATAAATCTAGGTTAATTATTTTTGGTACTTTGTTAATTACAATCCTTGTTTAGTTAATCATAATCCTTGTAAATTCAACACTTTTTTCATTATTATATTACTTGGAATGACTACTGCACTTGTTAGAGTGTTTTTAGCATATCAGTAATTAATTAAACAACTTTTGTGTAAATTGTAATGATATATCTACATAATTAATGAAGTATTTTAGTTTGAATTTAAAAAGTATACTCATAAATTACTAATTGTCTCTACAAAAATAAGTCCATAGTAAATGTAGAAATGAATGTTTGCTTAACTCTTTTCTAAGATACGATTCCTTTGGCAAGAAGGAAAATATACACTGAAGTAGACCTTGTATCAAAACATCTTCCTAAATCTGTGTCTAAATAATCAATCGCTTCAAGATGATTATTGTACTTATAGATAAGCGTAAAATTCTTGGTCCCTTGTAGACATCGTAAGACCTTCTTAGAAGCTTTCCAATACTCAATTTCTACATTTCTTTGATATCTCCTTAACATTGCAACTATAAATGCAATATTTGGTTGGTGTAAAGTTGTTCATGCATCAAGCTCTCTAGAGTAGATGTATATAGAATGTTTTTCATCTTTTCCTTTTGTAACTCATTTTGTGGACATTAATGTTTACTAAACTTGTCACCTTTCATAATGAGTGCTTATACAGGATAGCAATTTTGCATCCTAAATCTTTCCAAAAATTTTCAATGTAAGTCGTTTGAGAAAACCCAATTTTCCTTGTGATCTATCCTTATGAATTTCTATGTCAATGACATAGGAGGCTTCTCCTAGATCATTCATTTCAAAATTTTGTGAAAGAAATTGTTTTGTTTCATGAAGAAAATCCATGTCACCACTTGCAAGTAAAATATCATTCACATACAAAACTAAGAAAATGACTTTATTTACATTGACCTTTAAGTATACATATTGATCCACAATATTTTCTATAAAATAGAAAAAGGTAATAACATTGTGGAATTTAGTATACCATTGGCAAGAAGTGATTAGCCTAAATTCCATACAATTTTACTTGGCTTTTTTGTCAAGAATTGGAGTCCTCTTGGAGTGATTTTATTTGGTTTTACATTTTTTTTCATCATTCTTTGTAGGTAGAGGGTAAAATTGAAGAAATCAAGAGCAAATGGGCTGAAATGAAAAAAGTTAGAAAGATGAAGTCTGATTCCATAATTTCTCCACTTGAAGACTAGAACTTAAATTGGTTTTTCTTCCTCTATACATGTGTGCACAACATTGGACATGTGGGCCTTTTTAACTTTTATTGAAGAGATGAGCTAGGCTTCTAATAAGGGCACATAGAGATATAAAAAGAGGAGGCAATTGGTAGAGAAGAAAAGCATCTTGGAGGCAGAGCAAGCTAGATCTCTTTATGGGTGATGGCAAAAACAAGGGTAGCCACTGAGGAGATTCTAATCAAGAACAAGAGGAAGAGCACACTAGTGAAAGTCCAAAAGTGGTTCCAGTGTACCAAAAATTGGGTTTTGCTTTCCTACGCTTTACTTTTTCTTTGTTGGATATGGAATTGTGGTTCATCAATTTAATTTCAGATTTTATTATGATTAGTATGAACTAATTTATCCATCTAAGACTACGATGTAGCCTAGTAAATTTGATATCGAATTTTATGATTTTTATACTTTCAAGGTTTATTTTTTCATGTGGAGTATATATTATTATCCTTAATGCTTTTTAATGATTGGCCAACATTAAAACTAATTTGGAGAGCATAATTGAAATCAAGAGGAGATT